CCGCTGCCGGCTGCACAGAGGCTCAGCACTCCGCACGCCTTTGTCCCAGTGGCCACTGGGGAGCAGAGGCCCAGCCACCGGGGAGGGACAGGCATGCATTCTTACGGGCCCTCGCCACACGGCCCAGGACACCTGTCCCCTTGCCTTCCCCGACTGTCTTGTGGTGGTCTCTCCACCGTGTGGTTGACGAGGTGGGGAGACCCCTGGACAAAGAGGCCAGAGCAGGGGGCTCCACAGCCTTGAATGAAGGCAACACAGTCGGAGCTGCGAGGGGACCCGAGGACCAAGGCTGCCTGTGGGCTGCAGGAGCCGCGGGCTGCAGGGGCCTCTTCTTTGCTCCAGTAAATGTGGTTTGTGTGGCAGCAGCTGCAAATGACAACCCACGCGGCCAAGTGGAGGGAACCTGGCCCTCAAGGCCTGTTCCTCAAGGCCTGCCCGCCTTACGGAAGCCAGGAATCTGCTCTACTGCGGGTCTCACGGCTCACAGTCTGGACAGTAAAGCAGTCCAAAGGCCACTTGGGGGTCAGCTGGCTCTCTGGTCTAATCATACCTGGAGGTGCTGGGTAGGTGGCCCAGGGATGCTGCAGGCTCCTGTGGGGCCCACCTGAGATGGGCTTGGGCCCAGCAGCACCTTCCCCCTGGAGCCCCACACAGAGGGTCTCCGTGGCACTGCATCCTAAGGAGAAGGCGCCAGCCCACGGGAGCAGGGCTGCCCTGCTGTCACCTGGACTCCTGCTCTGAAACACCACCGACCCGCTAAAAGCAGGGCATTCATGTCAACCTGTGGCCGGTGGGAGGAAGACCCAGCTCCGGCCTCACCACACATGCCCAGGTTTACCCAGGTGGTATTTGGGAGGGTCCAGCATCCGGGCCAAGCACACCCTGGGCGATGTCTCCACATGTCCCATCTACTGAGGTCCTGAGTCACTTACCTACTAGTTTATTACCTGTCTGCTGCCTCTGTCAACTGTGAGAACACAGTTTCTATCTGATTTACACCTGTGCCCAGAACACACCAGATGTCAATAAAATGGTTGTCAGATGAGGGACAAAGGGCCATCCTCTGTGCCTTGTGGGGCACTCAATTCAGAGGCACTGCCAGGGGTAAGAATTCAGGGGCCCACCACACACACGGCCCAGCTCACCCACTCCCCACTTTGGACATTGGGGGTCCCCAGGATGTGGCGGCAAGGCTGCCCGACACATTCCTGTGCACACGGCCAAGTCTGTTCTCGAAGTACAGCTGTGGAGCCCTGAGGCCAAAACGATATTGTATCATGACGAAAGAAAACTGTTGTTTGCCCCCTTCATGCACAGACATTTGTGGCGCTGGGTCCTTGGCATGAGCAAAGGCAGGGGGCAAACCTGGTGGTGGCTTGGAGCTCCTCCCCACCACACACTTGCCACAAAAGGCCCATTTCACTTGGAAGCACCCTCGGCAGTAAAAGTGACCCATTTTATTACATGTTGGCCCCTGAATACACGTCTTTCTAACAGTCTGTGTGACAAAGCAGAGAGAGAGCAGAAAGTGCTTCCGCTCAGCACACAAGTATGATGCCTGCAGAGAAGCATGTGTGCCATCATTTGAGCCACCAGCTGAAACATGCAGTTTCTTTCAATGGAACACAATTTTTACTTGAAAGAAGGAATCATCACAACCTCTACTTATTCAGACTCAGGTACCAGGAAGACAGTTTCTTGAAAATGAACAAAGTGAGCTGTCCCTTTCCAGAAAGCAACCGACAGTATTTGTGACCAATGACGAAATTAAAGCTGTCATTCAAATGTGGGACTGTGAGCTCAGCAACTTCCCAAAGGAAGGCTTTTCTGCTGAGTGGTGGGGGTGGTGATGAAAGTGATGCTTCGACTGTGCCCATGACCCAGGCCAGCGCTCCGCAGACCTGCCCAGCCAGGTGAGCCGGTACTTCCCAAATGCCCAACGTGTGATATTCCAAGAATTAGCATACAGGAGGCTCCATCCACGTGCCAGATGGGCTGGTGGACGCCAAGGCTCATGGATGTGGTTCCAGAAGCCACCAACTGTCTGGAGCAGGTGCAATGCTGAGGAAGCATGTCCACAGGTGTTTCCAGAACATTCCTTTCTTTTCCAGGTGCATATCCACGTCAGGCTCTCCTGCAGATACTTTCCTACGTTACAACCAAACATCCCAGGCAGCCGGCGTTTGGGAGCATTGATGGACTGCCCGTAAGCCAGGGATCTGAGGCATCACACCTGCCTCTCTCCTCACTAACACTTTTTGTTTTGGAAAATGTATTTTCACACAATTTTTACTTTTGTTGACATAAATTGGGTTTATTATTATTTTGAAATGAATACATATTTTTAAATCTTAGGTTTGATGTCTAATAAGGTAACCTAATGGTATTAATATTGGCAGCAAACACCCACATAAACAAAGCTCTCTGGGGTCTCCAGCAATTTCTAAATGTAAAGGGTCCCAAGACCCGCTTCGCAAGGTGCTGCCCTGGGCTTGTGTGCGTGGGGATGGACGCCTGAGTTGCACTGGGCCTTCTTTCCTCTTGACGGGATGATACCAAAGTGCCCCTCAGAGTGGTGTGCCCTTGGCACCGGCTGGCAGTGTCTGGGTGGGTGTTTCTGGCCATTCCTCCCACCGTCAGTCCTCCTGGGGGACACCCACCCCACGGGCGTGCCCGGTCGTTGGCGCCTCCCCGGGGCTGCGTGAGGCCGGCCCGCACTCCCGGGCACTGTTCTGCGTTTTGCTTGGTTCTTGTTCACGCCAACTTAGAGTCGGCCCGTCTCAAAGCAGACCTCAGTGCTACGAAGAGGGCGGCTGGTATCCCCTTAACAAGCCGACGGCATTCCGTTGCAGAGCTTTTGGGGAGGCACCGAGTTTCTCCCCATGTGAGACCTCGTTGTCGGTCTCTCAATGGAGCTGAATGTTTTTCTTCACACGGATCCTGTGCCGCTCTCGTTAAATCCACTAACAGATACTCTACAGTTTTTAATCGTAACTGTGAGAGGGACATTTTTCCATTCTCCTATTTAACAGGTTTACAGTGGTTTAAGGAGCTCTTGATCTTTTTTATATTTAGTTTTCTGGGCATATGAAACTATGGGCTGAAAATGAAGGTAAGTTTTCGTTTCTTCGCTTCACCGCCCACCTGCTTATTGTGTTTGCCTAGTGCGTTGCCGGAAGTGTCAAAGCAACCTGAGTAACAGTGACACAGTCGTCTGCATCCCGGCCTTAGTTTTCACTGTCACACGTTGTTCTGCTGAACCTTATCAAATATTTTAGCATTTACTGCTATGGCCACTTTTTCCTTCTCAACAGACAGATAACTACAGACAAAATCAGGAAGTCGTAAGACACACTGCTTACAGGGCACGACGCAGGTGGCTCCGCAGCTGGGTTCTGTCTGACTAAGTGGTCCTGCTCCAGCCAAGGGAAAGGGCGGGCAGCGCCACCCAACTGAGGACGCGGAACAGCAGTGATGCAGGCTCTGGGGCAGAGCAGGGAGAGCAAACAGACCCGATGTCCTCTGAACACAGATGCAAAGATGCTGAGTAACATACCATAAACGGTAACTTGCAATTACTGAAATACCAGCACCTCATGACCATGATTCTAGGAATGCAAAGATGTTTTGGGCATGACCACCCTGATGGCGGCTGGGAGCATGCGCTGTCGGGGCTCCACTCAGCACCCTCTGGACCCAGCCCTCCCGGGCGGAGTGTCTGCTGAACAAATGAGTCCTTGAGGTGGCGTCTTGTCTCAGCATGAACGGGCTCCTGAGCTAGAACTCGGCCAGACCAAGCCCCCTGATCCAGGTCTTCCGCACTAGACACCTCCAAGGTCTCTATCCTTGCAGTGGGGTGCCGCTCTTCCCAGCCAGGGCTCAGCGACGTCACAGGAGCAAAACTGACCTTGGTTGGGGTTTTTAGAGCATGGAACCTCGTAAGTGTGGCAAGCTCCAGCCCTGGCACAGAGCTGCAGTGAAACCTGCAGCAGACACACCACTGCCTTCATCCCAAAGCCCAGCGGGGGGGTCCCCGAGGTGGCTGCAGAGGGTGACTTGCTGCCTGGCTCTGCCCTCTGGGCCCCACCGAGCACCAGCTCCTCCCTCCCCGTTGTTGACTCAGGGCTGGCCTCTGCGCCACTGATGACCTCGCGGGCTACTGCAGGGTCACACCAGGATGGCCATGGCAGTCCCCCAGCAGGCCCCCTGCTTCCCTATCACCTCCACCAGTCTGCTCAGCAGTAGCCAGAGAGCTTTTCTAGACAGTAAGTCAAAGCATGTCACCTGCCACTAACTCACCCATCGTGTGCCTCAGAACGTGGGCAGCAACGTGCTGGTCCCAGGGGTGAATCAGACAGTCCTGTGCAGACAGTGACCAAAGCCCAAGGAAGACTTAGCAAGAATTCAGCAAAGAAGCTTCTGGAAAGGTTTTCCCATTGGTGGAAGGGCAGAGGCAGTGAGGTGAGCTGCATGCTGGCCCACCACAGCTCCTCTCCTGCATCTGCAGATCCAGCCCCATGCAGCAGCCACGGCACGGCTGCGGGTCTGGGGAGCCCCACCGCACCCACTGCTCCTAGGATTTGCCGTGCCCACCAGCTCCTCCCCACCTGCAGGTGACCGGCCCCTGCTCCTCCGTGCTGGCCCTTTCCGCCAGCGTGCGTCACAGTCTGCTCCAATTTTCTGTCGAGGTTCGCCCGGTCCCAGCTCCCAGAGGCCAGGCCCAGAACACCGAGCAGGGTCTGCCCCTTAGCAGGTGTTGGGTTTGTTAGCGTGCCACAGAAGGGGAACTCAGAGCCTGCGGGGAGGCTGCACGGAATCTCTGGGGTTTGCTGTGTCTCAGGTTACTTTTGGACAGGTGCAGACCCTGGAGGGAGGAAATGACCATCCGCTTGGGGAGGGTCTTTGTTTCAGAGAGAACCTGTTTACTTTTGCACCCCCACCCCCTTCCCGGGTGCATTCCCTCCAAGCCGGTGAAAGTGAGCTCTATTTCCAGGCAGTCATGAAAATCATACATTTAATATCAAAGCCATTTCATCCCTCATGGCAGTGACCCAACGCACAGCAGGTTCCAGGACATTCTACCTGGGAATGCCCCCCGAGCGACCCTGAGCCTGGCCTGTGTCTGAGGAGCCCGAGGCCTCGCAGCCCCCCAGGGGCCCCTGGAAGGGGGTCCCAGCCCAGGAGCAGGGTCAGGCCCAGCCACCCGCCCGCCGCCCGTGGCCTAGGCGCCGGACTTGGCGATGAGCTTCTCCAGCAGGCTCATCATGCGCTCCTGCAGCTGCAGACTCTGCACCTGCAGGAGGTTGTGCTGGTCCAGCACGCGGCGCACCTCCCGGCACGTCTCCTCCACAGCCCGGCTCAGCCGGCGCTGCTCCTCCAGCATGGCCTCCAGCAGGCGCAGCTTCCTCCTCTGGAACTGGCGGCTCTGCGCCTTGCGCTTCTTCAGCGGCCGCCTGTCCGACCTGGAAGGACAGTGCCGGCATGTGGATGGCTGGGCCCGGAGCCCGTGCACCCAGGGCACTGCCTGGCCCCCAACCCAACCACTCCACTGGGCCACGGGACACTGAGGCCGCAGGCAGCGGGCCACTCCCTCGGAGCCCAGCCATCATGACAGCGAGGGGGCGACAGGAGCTGCAGCACTGCCATCCTCTGGGACCCGAGGCCATCCCATGACTGGGCCACAGGACGCCCAGACCACATGGTCCTTGGGGGCGGGGCACCCTGTACCAGCAGAGCACCTCAAACCCGCTGCGCTGGGTGCACAGGCACAGTGAGAGCTCGGAGAGATGAGGACGGCTGGCAGGAGGGAGGCCGGCCGCCTCCCAGGAAGCAAGGCCTCCTGTTCTGGCCGGCCTGGGGCAGACAGGAAAGTGAGGTTCAGAAGAAAGGGCCTGGGTCACGGAGCTGGGGATGGGGAGGTGGGAGGACAGGCAGGCACCTAGAGGGGCCAGGGCCCGCAGAAGCCTCGGCCCCCCTCCCTGGGGCAGAAGCAGCTCTGGTGGACGGGGCGGTGGGAGCAGCCCAACCTGCGTCTATACCCTGGGCTCTCTGCTGTCGGGTGGTGGGCATCCTGGTCCAGCCAGACCCAGCCCTGTGCTCCTGAGAATGCTGGCAGCTCAGCTGCCTTCAGAGGTGGACAGTGGAGCTCTGGGCCCGGGGCAGAGCGGTGCCCACGTCCCAGTCCCGGGGTGGTATGGGAATGGGGCTCTGTCCCTGGAAACAGCTGCCATAAGCCTTCACAGCCATGAATTCAGTGTGGCTCTGAGCACAGGCACTTCTATCAGGGGTCTTTGCTGAGAAACCCTCTCTGCAGAAGGGGTGCTGGACAAACCGAGCAGCAGCCCCTGACATCAGGCCCCCCAGAAATGCCTTCCTCACCCCAACCCTGTCTGACAGGCCTGAGGACCAGGGCTTGGGGCAGAGGCAGGGCTGTGACTCAAGCCCACACTCTTGTTCCCATCCCCAGCCAGCCACCTCCTATTCGTCCTTGAGGCCTCCGCGAAACAGCCACAGGAATGTCTCTCCTGCATGCCTGTCCGTGTCCTGAGGGCAGGGTCACGTGGCCGACACAGGCCTTGCAGGGTGTCTGTGATGGGCGGCAGAGGGCAAGGACACCCGCTGCAGCGAGGTTTTGAGCGCACTCTCAAGGGAGTGGAGGCCAGCCCGACACTCCCTCGCTCACAGGGCTGGTCGGCCCAGCAAGGAAGGGGGAAATCCCCAGGCAGCCCGAGGCCCGGAGCGAGAGGAAGGCCCTCTACATGCGGCGTCTGGTCTTCTCTGTGCGCTGGCCCTACATAGTCCATGCTTGCCTCTGACATGCAGAGCAGGCCTGGGAGAAGGTACCAATTTATCCCCACCTTACAGAGGGGGACTGAGGCCCAGAGAGGTCAAGGACTTTCCACACAGCTGAACAGTGATGGAGCCAGGAGACAGACCCAGTGAGTGGACACGACAGCTCACACTTCACAGCCACCTGTCTTCCTGTCGGAGGCCCCCTGGCTTGAGGCCTCCCTGGTCTGACCCTCCTTGTCTGAGGCCTCCCTTGTCAGCCTCCCTGGTCTGGCCTTCCCCTCTGAGCCTCCCCGTCCGAGGCCTCTCTGTCCCTGGAGGCACCTGTGCACTGCCTAGCCATGTGCAGCCAGCCAGGGATGGCAGAGGGTGCCACTGCCAGCTCACGGTGCCCCGGCAGCTGCGGGCCCCGCTGTGGTCGGGGAAGAAGCACTCTACCTGCACTTAAGGGGCAGTAAGCTGGAGGAGCTGGAGGAGCCGTCGTCGTGGAAGCGGCCTTCGTAGGAGCACCGGTTATACGGTAAGTACAGAGGGGTGGACTTAGCTGACGGCGACAGGGACGCCTCGGTCTGGGACGTGGAAGGCCCCGGCTGCTGGCCATCCGGCAGTTTGCCATCACAGGACTCAGGGACCTTGGCCAGAATCCTATCAATGGCTAGGTAATAGGGCCAGTCGGGCGGGACGGACTCGCTATCTGTCATGCATTTTAATTTCCTGAAACGAGAGACACAAGAGCCAAGGGTGAGAAACCAAGCTGCCCCGCCCGGCCCGCCCGCCCTGGGCAGAGGGCACTTGGGGCTCCAGGACCCCGGGGGCCCTGTGGCACGGGCGGGAGCCACTCTTGGCCAGACAGGCCTCCCCACGGAATCGGCCAGGCTCCAGGGCCCGGTGACACTGGATGCAGGAAGAAGCCAGGCTCGGGACCTATATGGCCTCGCATGTCAAAAGGCAGCACACAGGCCGAGGGGAGAGCACCCCGGGCAGGAATCAGGTTTTTTGTAAGTACGGGGTCTTGGGCTGCTTCGAATCACTGCTTTCTCTGCTTTTCTGTAGCTATATTTTTTGGCAATGATCAAATACTGCTTTTAAACAAGTTAACCAACAATAATAAGATACTGTTAATGTAATAAAATATATAAAACAAGCCTAGGAATAAAGTATTATAATATATAAATGTCAAATACTGTAACATAACAGACATGCATCTCTGAGGAGGACATCTCATGTCTCAGGGAGTGGGAACCCCAGGAGCTAAGAGCACAGGCTTCAGTGTCCAACAGATCTGAGCTGTGTCTCGTCGCCACTGCTTTGCTGTGTGACCTTGGGCAGGTTCATTAACCTCTCTGAGCCTCCACTTTCACATCAGTAAAATGGGGATGATTAAACTCCTCACATGGCTGTAGGGAGGTTCTAGTAAGACAATGCCTGGGTCCTGGCAAAGGGGAAGCTGTTCGGGTAGCACTCTTGTCTGAAGACACCAGGAGGCAGCAGGGCTGGGCCGATAGGGTCTCTTCCCATGTTGCCAGACACCTGCCATCCCCCACTTGGCCCTGGGGCTGAGGGTCTGCGCAGCACAGATCTGCCTGCTGTGGGTCCAAGCCCTTCCCAGGCCCTGCACCCTGCCCACCCCTGCAGACAGGCCCTGTAGGCCCCTGGGCCTTGGCCGGGAGTGAGGGACAGGGAGACGAGGCCACAGGACAGCCGGGTAGCCCTGCCAGGCCAGGAAAGAGGCCACAGGGTGTGTGTGTGTGAAGGGGAAGGCTCTTGGCTCTCTCAGACCCACTGCCTCCTGAGGCCAGGGCTCCCCCAGGCCCCCAGCTTCGGCCTGTGGCCCCTCACGTTCCAGTCCCGTGCTCCTCCTGATGCCGCAGAGCGCCTGCAGCTGGGTGGCTCCCGTCCCGACAGGTGGTTCCCTGCCAGGGTGTGGCCACCAGAAATACAAGCTGACCATCCTATTGGGTCAGTCTCAGCAAAGAGGCCGAGCTGGACAGCAAGGGGTCTGCGGCTCTGGGCAGCAAGCATAAGCCAGCTGCAGCAGGGGCAGCCTCAGAGCAGCACCAGCAGGCGCCGTGTCCTTAGCACAAGGCCAGGGACAGGCCACATGCGGAAGAGCACGACTGTCCTCTCTGACCACAGCAGCCCACCCATCACCCTGGAGGGCACGCATATGCCAGGTGTAGGGGCTCCCTCTGGAGGACCCCCAAACTCGTCCTGCCCATCCCAGCCAGCCTGCTCCTTGGAGAAATGAGGGGAGACCTGCCTCCAGCACAGGAGGCCCTAAATGGTCGGGTATTCTAGCGACGATGCTCCATGGAACCTGGCCACCCCCTCAGGCTTTCTTAGCCTGACAGCCTTCATATATGAAGAGCCTTTCCTGTGGGGAGGCTCTGTGGGGGGGTCAGAGCATCGGCCTGGCAAGGGCTGTGCAGCCTTGGGCAAGTCCCTTTCCCGCTCTGGGCCTCAGGACCCCTCTCAGTGAGCAGGAGCTGTGAGGGGCCCCAGCATGTGAACGCTTTGCAAACTGCGAAGTGCTGTGCACATGTGCAGCTGTAGCCTCTGACTACGACGGCTGGAGTGGAGGCCCCAGAAGACCCAGGTCCCCACTCTGCCGCCCCTTCATGTCCTGCGGCCTCCTGGGCCCCCATCCCCCATGTCCAGGAAGGGAACAGAATCCTTCCCCTGGGACTTGGAAGAAGGCTTTCAAGATAAATAATAAATAACCCAGCAAGACAGCGATCAGAGCCCGGGAAGCACTGGGTCAGGTGAGAGGTGGGACGGCCATCCAGCCCCGCAGCCCCCTTCCAAGTGCACGGGGTGCACTGCAGGAACCAGGCAGGGGGCTGGTACGCCGCTGCAGAAGACGGAGCCTGGGGAGCCAGGGCTGGAATTTCACATCGTTTACATTAAGTGACTCTGATGCCTTCAGACCGGGGCAGCTGCCTCATTTCCAACCCCTGGGCCTGGCTGGAGACCAGGACTGAGGGTCAGAAATGGGCCTTTGGACAGGGCCAGACTTCAGACTTGCTCTTTCAAGGGCCATAAAAAATTAAATCGATGCCACTGGAAACAGCATTTTTGTTGTTAAGGGGCTATGGAGCCTCTGCAGGCTCCAGACCGCTGGGAGCTACAGGCCAGGAGGAGTTGTCTGTCGGGCAGGGGGAGGGTCCTCTTGCCCAGAGGGTGGCTCAAGGTGCCTGGGTCAAACCTTCAGCCCTGACCACACCTCCGCTCCCCTGCCCACAAGGCCACTAGGGGACCGGGTGGTGGCCAGGGCTGGGAGAGACTGGGCACCCACAAGGACAGTTCCTGTGCTCCCAGGAAGCTGACGGCTCTCGGGGGCAGGGGCAGCCCCAGCCCCAGGCCTGGCCCTGCCAGGCTGCCCACAGGGCCCCAAGCTCTTGGTTCCCCCATCGGCCCTTTGCACCTGCTTGACGGTTACCCAGCATGGCCTGGTCTACTCGTGACCTTCATCCTGCACATGACCCTCTCCATGTCCATAACCCATTCCATGCCTGTGACCTTTGCCCCACACAAGACCCTCTTCACACTGTGACCCTCCGCAGGTGGGCCTGGGTCCCAAGCACCCTGAGATGGTGGGTGTGTGCAACCACGCCTGGCCCCCTCCCTAGTGCCAGAGCTCCCCTGCCCAGCCCTGACCCAGAACCCCCCCCGTCAGGCTGCCAAGGCAGGGGGGCCACAGGGGAGGGGGCAGAGGCAGAGGTGGGCGAGGCCGGGTCCTCAGCACATCCTTCCATAAACATGGCCCCTCTCATGAGTGGGGCCCTTCTGGGTACTCAGGACCCTGATGAGAGCCCTGTATGCCCCAGCCCTAAGGATGGCGCTGGCTGCGTGCCCTGCAGGGCTCAGTGGGTGCTGAGGACGGAGTGCGGGGACAGACAGGACTCACAGGCCCGGGAGCTGAGGCCGCTTCCTGCCTCTGGCCACTTTTCCAGCATCAGCCACCACGCAGCCATGCCTTCGGCTCCCTGGCTGTGGCAGGGGGGTGTGGGCAGGCCTAGCAGGGACTGCCTGCACCTGTTGAAGGCACCCCTGGGGCAGTCCCAGTCCTGCCCTCACTCTGCCTCAGTTTCCCCGCCTGCCCAATGGGAGACTGCATACCTGGTTTCTGTAGGCCCCACCCTGCCGCGTGGTGTGGTGGCTCACTGGAACCCCACACCCCAACTGGGCTCCCAGAGACTGGCAGCAGCCCCCAGCAGTGGGAGCCTGGCCAGCTTGCCTGCCCTGGCCACTACACCCTGGCGACCACGTGGTGAGGGCAAAGCGCCCGTGGCCCACCTGTACTGGAAGGTCATGTTGGTGATCTTGATCTTCAGCTCTTCGCCAAGCCGGCGCTCGCCCGTCATCCCCAGCAGCTTGCTGGCCATCTTCTCATACACCTTGGCATTGCGCTTGGTCTGCTTCAGCTCGTCGAAGAACTCCTCCCAGACCAGGATGAGGCCGCGCATCTCAGCGTCCGTCCAGTTACGGGCCCGCCGGTGCTTCTCCGTCTGAGCAGACACCAAGTAGCCGGGCACCTCGGCTGCTGCCATCTTGGAGGCGCCTGCGGGGTTAAAGAAGTGGCTCAGGCGGGGCTGCGTCCCCGTGGGCACCCGCGGTGGAGGCCCGCTCCTGGAAGGCAGCTCTGTGCTCAAAATGGGGCCTACATCTGACAGGCAGGAATTTAGTTAAAAGCTTTTAAACGGGAAACGTCATTTTGATGTCACGTTTCCATAGCAACAGAGCAACTGCATAAGCTACAACAGAAACCTTTTAACTGAAAGCGCAGGAATCAGGGCCACCCTGACGGGCCATCAATATTGCTGTGAGCATGCCAGGCCCAAAACTGGCGGTCCGGGCTCTGGGCCTGCTTCCACCCTGCCGGCCGCCAGGCCTCGCGGGCCCTGGCTGTGTAGGCAGGCACATAGGCTGGGCAGACCTGGCTCCAGAGAGGTGGGTTAGGGCCACAGCCCCCGCCTCTGTCAGGCAGCAGCCCACACAGGTCAGGCACCCGAGGGAGTCCAAAACAGGGGGTCGGGGGAGGACAAGAGCCACCAGGATCCCAGGGCAGACAAAGAGGGAGACGGAGAGGAGGGTGGGGGGACAGAGGGTCATGGAGGGGGGACATATAGGGACAGACGCCCTCAGCCATCCGCAGAGACACGTGCATGCCAGTCCTCACCCGCCCGCTGCCCCTTGTACAGACAGCGCTCCCAGCCAACGTGCTCGCGTTTTATTTTGGGAAACAGAAACGGACCGACCCCAGGCTGGGTGATGGTGGGGCTCCGGCCCCCGTGCGGGCAGACCCCTGCTCTGCCACTGACTGCACGCCTGTCTCCCCCTCGCAGGCAGGACTGTGTGCCAGCCTGGGCGGCGTGGGGCAGGCCTAGGACCCAGAACAGCTCCAGAGGCCAGGGAGCAGCTGGAAGCAGTGTGTCCCTCCCCCGGGGGCAGACGCACACAGCCCTGTCTAGCCTGAATCGGCACCGTCCACGCCGTGCCTCCACCTGACTGACCAGGGCGCTCCTTACAGTGCCCCACAGAAAAGGGTTCGGCAAAGGCTTGCTGAGTAAAGAAACGAACAAAGGGACTGATCTTAAGCAACACAGCCCCCTTCCCAACAGGTCACCTGCACTTTGCCGCGGACTTCCTGGCAAACTCAGGTTCATTCCCCACAGCCCTGTTCCGGTGCCACCTCCCCTCTGAAATCTCCCGACTCCACTGTGGTCCTTCTATGTCCCCTCCTGCCAGTGGGACCTACCTTGAGCCAGTGTGTTGTTTCCTACCTTTCAGCTCTGTGGTCCTGGTACACCTGCAAAAGCGTCAGTAGTAAGAACTGAGCCCTCTGAACAGGGGGCGGGGCCCTAAGCACGGAATACCCAGTTTTCTCTTTGATCCTCATGGTATTCTTGTACAGAAGCTGGCACTGTCCTCGTCCCTGTTTCATAGGTGAAAAGCCTGAGGAGTGGCAAAAAGGTCACCCATGGGTAGGGGCCATGCCAGGCTTGAACCAAGTCAGAGTTGAGTCTGACACCACACTATGGTGCTATTGGCCGAGCACCAGCTGCAGGGTCCCTGGGAAGGACACCATCACACTACTCTGCCCATAGTCCTGGGTAGGACACCGAATGTAGCCCGTGAAAACCTCTGCATGCCTGGGTAAATGCTGCCCACCTTTTCCCGGGGTCTCCTGGGAGGCCTGCTGTTGCCAGGCAGCTGCGTCTGGGGGGTGCTCTCCGTGCACACTAGGTGAAGCCCGAGGAGAACCTCAGCCTGGATGGGGGAGGGTTCTGACTCCGAATGAGAAAGAACTCTGGGGCAGGCCGGACAAGTGTGGGTAAGGAAGCAGTTCATTAAGTGGGAGTAGCAGGGATGGCAGCTGCCATGTGGGCAGCAGAGAGCAAGGGAGAGCAGAGGGGGGAAAGGGCAGCTCACTGAACTCCTGCTCGGCAGACGGCAGGTCCCTTGCCAACGCCTGAAGCCAGGGTCACCTGGCATCCAGTGTCCGCTTGGATCTACACGGCATGGGAACTAAGTCCCTTACCACCCTAGGATTTGGTGGGGCCACAGAGCACCAGATGAAGTGAGATTTTGTTCTGAGAACTTCCCAAAGGCAAAGAGAGGAGATTTGCAGGCAGGCTACTGAAGAGTATGACCGTACAAGTGCAGCCCTGTCCGGGTCGCCCAGGCGATGGGAACTTGCAGCCCCAAATCAGAGCTCTCAGCAGCCCCTTCCTACTCGTCTGAAGTAGCACAGAGAGAGGAAAGACTCGTGTTAAGTCTGGGAAGTTGAATGAAGTAGCAAAGTGACAATGACACTTACCACTGGAAGAGCGCAGAGACAAAATGCAGTAAGCTGAGCAGAGATAAGGCTTTATTTAAAAAGCACACACTTGAAGAAAGGGGAGTGTGGGCAACTTCAGAGAGGAGGCGCATTTAAGGGCTTAGGATTCTGTCTCTGAAGGCTTTCGGGAATGGGGCACAGGGCGGGGGGCGGGGTTGTCGGGCACAAGCTTGACTTGTGGTCTCGGGCTCTCTCTCCAGTGGGAGACATTATGTCACCACCCACAGTCAGCCCTCTAGATAATTCTGTAAGACAAACTTAACACAAGGAATTTATTGATCCAGTTCCTCTCCAAGGTAGTGGTTTCTCTCCAGCACTGGGAACGCATCAGCTAAGACTGCACACCCTGCCTTAAAGTAGGTGGTTGGCTGGTCACCATGAAATGTTAGGAACCTTACCTCCTAATTCCCTGGTTTTTAAAATGGAATCTTAGCCTTAAGATGGGGTCCCTCCTGTTCTTGCTTTACTGCTTATATCTTGGCATTTTTATCAAAGGCAGGAAAAGTTAATCATGATGCTTACCCTATGTTTACCAACTGCCCTTCTTCACCAACACAATGCTGACCCTGCACAAGGTGGTTGCTGGCACTGGCTGGGGTCCTTGGCTGTGGGACCCACACCCCACCTCAGTGGGCCTCTGCCAGGGCTTGACTGAGGCTTGTCCTGATGTCTCAAGGGCCAGCAGGGTCAGGGGATACAGACATTGGCCCCCAGGGGCAACTGAGCTGGGCTGGGCAGGCAACACAGGACAAAGGTGAGCGGCACATGGAGACAGACTCAGGGACTGGCCCAGCCCCCTATGAGCAGGCAGAGGGCACTGCTGGGAAGAACTGGGCCCGCAGAAGGCCAGAGCGTGGGGCCTGGCAGTGAGAGATGGGGTGTCTGTAACAGTGGGATGGGCTTGCGAGCCAGGCTGGGGATGGGCCCCAACCTCAGTGGGGTTAAGAGACTGAGGTGCCCAAAGGGCTGGCCAGGGTCTCCAGCCTGAACTGGGTCAGGAGACCAGAGCCAGGCCTGTGGGGCCTGTGGATAGAAGGTGCCAGCCAAAGGCGACAACATGCAGAATTTAAGAGCTGAGGCTCAGACGGGGTGGGGGTGGTATCAGAAGAGCCCGTCACACCTGCTGGGCCAGGCCCCAGGCACATGGCACCAGCTGCTCCAGCCGTGATCCTGCCTGGCATCTGTGGGGGTCCCAGGTTGAAAAATCATGCCCGCCAATAGAGGATCGTCCCTGGACCTCACACGGAGTCTTCAAGGTGCCCCAGGATGGGGGAGCTGGGCCCGGAGTGGGGAGTGACCTGAGTCTCTGCCCCAGTGCCCCTGCCCAGCCCACACCTGCTGAGTCCCTGTGGGAGGGGCTGGGCCCTCGAGTGTAAGAAGGGAAGGGTCCAGGGAGGGGCCGGCAGGCTGGGGCTCTCTCCTCCCTGCAGTCAGAGCCAGAGCGCAGCCGGGGCAAGTGTGGGCACTCAGACGGGCCTCCGACCCTGCTCAGTGGGCTCCTGGGTCAAGGCCCTGCTGTCAGCTCCCCATAGGAGCCCCTCTTTGGGCTCCAGGGGTCACCTGGGGACAAGAGACATCAGCCCCCAGGAGACTCACCCGCTGCGCTCCTCCCGGCCTGGGTGCCTGACACAGCGCACTCAGAGGCATCTGCAGAGGGAATGAGGGTCTGGAAGCTCCACTTCTCAGGCAAAGGAGCTGACCCTCCCAAGGGGCCCCACGGCTGGCTCTCTGTCCCACCTTGAGGACCTGTCCTCAACCACACTCCAAGGGTTGGGCGGGGCTGCCTCCCCAAGCCTCGCAGCACGCGGGCAGGGGCTGCAGTGAGAGGCTGGCAAGCAGGGCCTCAGAGCTTGTGGAGGAGAAAGAGGCTGGTGTGCTGGCCTGGGGGCTGGGGAGGTGGCTGGTGCATAATCATCAGGAAAAGCCACCATTTCAGGGTCCACGGCCTGTTCAACAGCAGCACAGCTGGTCCCAGTGCCTCGGAGCAGCCGGTCCTTGGACATCACTGCCCATGCTCAGGGCCCCTGGCAGCCAGGTGGCCCCACAGGGGGCGTCTACACCTGCCTGCCTCCAGCCGGCACACCCAGGGGAGTCAGGGTAGGGACTGGACTGCAACTGCCTCTTCTCTGGTCTCAGTGGGCCCTGGGGGCCCCCAAGGATGGAGGGCCCTGGCGGTGCTCTCTGGAGAGCCCTCCTGTCGGGCCTCCGAGGACAAGGAGGAGCTGGGGTCAGGGAAGGGAGAGGCCGGGGAGGTAGGGCCAAGCACCCAGCCGCCCCGCCTGGAAGGGCCCTGTCTGTCCTCTGCTGGGGGAGGGCTCCTTACCTTGGCACAGCTGCATGGCCAGCTGGGACCACCAGTCTCTGTGGGATGGGGAGGCAGAGGGCCAGGGGGCGTCTGGCAGCACCTGCAGGGAGACGGGGCCGTCAGGCCTTGCAGGGCGGGGGGCAGGAGTGCCAGGACACCTGTGCTCCGGTGGAGCCTGAGCCCTCTAGCCATCTTTCTCTGAATCAACACTCGGTCCCTGCCATGCTTATGCCTGCCCTGACCAGCCTGGCAGGGCGACACAGGGCCCCAGGACAGGAAGTGGGCGCCCCCGGGACTTCTGGCACCTGCGAGCGGTGGCAGCTCAGCAAAGGCTTGGCCTGTCACCGTCAGCGGCAAAGGCTGGCAGTGGGACTCCTGGCCTGAGCAAAGGTGGAATTACCCGGTGTGGAGGTGGGGGGTGAGCCCAGGCAGGGAGAGGCAGGACCAGGGGGTGAGGGGAGTCTCAGGACCGCCCAGCTCGCCGTGCTGGCACCACTATCCTTCTCCCTGCATATGTGGAGCCCAGACTCTTGACTTTCAGCCCTCTGCCTCAGCAGGCAGCCCCAACCGTGACCCAAGGGCTCCACCGAGTTCACCCGCACCCCAAGAGCTCCTTGGGCCCACATAAGTGGAGGCCCGGCTGGTGGCTGCTCCCACCCACCCGCCTGTCATGAGGGGCAAAGGCTGGGAGTGCCAGGACCCCTGGAAGACATCGCTGTGACAGGGACAATGTCATGTGAGTGGCTCCCAGGTTTCCTGCCCGGAGGGCCCAGTGGGGACAAGCCAGCCAACTAAACGAGGGAGCCAGGAAACTCCACCATGGAGGACGCAGGAGAACATGCTCATGGTTCCCCTAAAGAGGCTGTAGTGACCCCACAAAGCGGGCCTGCCTCTGTGTCCAGGGGTCTTGCAGAATGCCGTGCCCAGTGGCGCTTGGCCCAACGCAGGGCTGCCCTAGAAGTGAGATGCAGGCTGGGCCCCAGGAGCAGCACTGCTGCCACACTCAGAAAGGCCTCAGGGCAGGAAGCGGGGTCTCGCCCCTTCTGAGGGCGGCTGTGCCAGGGGGGCCCAAGGACAAGTGGGGAGCACGCAGCAGACAAGCCCATGCGTACCACTCCTTTCCAGGGGATCTGGGCCTTTTCTTTCTGGAATTAACAGGTTGGCCAGGTGTGCTCAGGTGCACGGGGCAGGGTCTGGCTGTCCTTCCCCCCCTCAGGGCAGCTCTCAAGGGTGACATCACTGGGGGCCCTGGAGTTGTCACAGAGGATGAAAACTGGGGAGGGGAAGGTACCCCAAATGCTTAAGAGTGGCTGATGTGAGAATGAGCCTGAAGTGACCCATCCACCTGGCCGGGCACCCGAGAGCCCCAACACTGTCCTGGTGCAGAGAGAGAGGGTCCTGTGGTCTCAGGAGGGCCGGGAGCACAGAGTCTCAGGACAGCCGCGACCTAGGACATGGCTCTCAGGGGACCCAGGGCTGCCACGGGAAGGGATGGCAGGCCACTCCCGCCAACCTCAGCAGCATCACAGAGCACATGCCCTGAGCAGCCTACAGCCAAGGAGGGTTTGTGCCTCTGCAGGTTGGTGGGTGAGACACCTGCACTCCAGGTCACTATGCCAAACACCAAGGCCTCCAAGGAAAGGCTCACCCAGCTCTTGGGACAGTGCCCAGTGAGATCCAGGAAGAGCTGGCTCTCAGGTGGGGAGGGTCCAGGACGCTGGGGGCTCCAAAGCCAGGCCATGGCCCTGTCTGGGCACTCCCGTCTCTGTACCAGCCCCTACCACCCCTCCAGGGTCCCCAGCCAGATGCGGGAGCAGAAATGCAGTGCCAAAACCATATATACAGCCTCCATGTCAAGAACCAGGGTTGCCTCTGCAGCCCGTGTCTGCGGGGCAGGACCCTCACAGAAGCACCTGGCCAGGCCTGGGTCGGGGCCCCTTCCTCACCCCCCACATGGACACAGGGCCCTGACCTGTGGGGCTCCACTGGGACATTGGACGTCGCAGGCATGGCAGCCAGCATCAGCCACCCTCACAGTCCAGGTTCTCCGTAAGCAAAGCAGGCGCGTACAGCAATTTATGGTTTAAGGTCTTCCTTTAATTCAGATGTACAACGTTTGCAGCAGTTTAAAAAAACTTAGATACTCATCTCAGTCATCCCTGCCCTCTCCTCTCGGAATTGGACAGTTAGGTCCGGCGGGGGCTCTGGTGCTCCCGTCACAGCCCTGTGGGCTCCCAGCGTGGTGGGGAGGGCGGCTGTGGCACAGCAGCAGCTTAGACCCCTGCTAACAGCCACTCTGCTGCAGCTCGAAGCCAAGAACACAGCCTGGTGGCCCCACTGGGAACCAAACCACCTGCAGCAAGTGCGAGTGGCCGCAACATTCTGGTGCAGGGGCCCCAGTTCTCAAGGGGAAGCCGCAGGGACTGTCCAGGGCCGGATGCTCCCAGAAGCACTTAGCGGGGAAGGGGTTCCTCAACTGCATTAAAAAGTGACAGGCACGTTGGGGAGAGTGATCCATGAACCTCCCAAGCCACCTTCAGCTGTCAGCACCCCGAGAGGGCCCCTCCACCAAGGACACTCCAGGCCAGCAACATGGGGTGCTCCTCCCCTCGAATAAGCCCTCCCTGATCTCCAGTGACCTCGGCACCCTACTCCTGCCTCACCCCACTAGCGAGGACACCTTGGTCTCACCCTCCCCTACGGCTTTGGACGCTCACCGAAGACAAAGGGACAAAAGCTAGAGGGAGGGTGTTTGCTAGGAAGCAGGTCGCAGAGGGCACTGGCTGCAGGGCACACAGCACGAGGCCCACCGCGGGCCCTGCTGCAACACGGAGCACAGTCACTGCTGTTCAGAGCCTGTCCTGCAGAGCCCATGGCAGGGCTCCCTCCAGCTCTGCAGGAGCTGCCCTGGGGGTGCCCCGGAAGTGAGAGCGGCAACAATGGGGCGTCGATGCACAGGAACCCTGGGGGGTACAGGGCCTTCTCGGATGCTATATTTTGGGTATCGAGGTGTTTTGGTATCACTCATCCCCGTGCAAGGACACGTTTGCTGGCAGAAATGAGAGAAGACAGTGGGAAAGGGCACTTGGCAGCTAGAAGTCACCGCACACTCAGTGGGGCAGGGATGGGAGGGAGGCTCCATCCAACAACCCACCCTGGTTTCATCCAAAGCTTTCCTGATATTAACCAGAAGGAAAACTAAACAATGCTCCCCACCCCCTGAGAAATAAACCTGACAATCAAATCAATGATATTTTCAACAAAATTTGCATTAATAATAATCATTGGTGCTTGCACACTTTCAGGAACTTGATAAAGTCTGAATTCCTTCTGCAGAGTTGAGAAGGTGGACTCTTCTCAGTGGGGTTCAGTGAGCAACACCCCCACTCTTGGCCCTGTCACGCAGCCTACTCCACGTGGCAGGTCTGAGAAGAGCCAACTCCCGAGCACCCCTTTCTTAGAGGCCTTGCACACCTGTCCTGACATTACACATACAGTTACAGGCAGGTACACACACTCAGCCAGGGTGAAGCAACCTCATGCACAAACTCACTTCCTTCCCCGCAGCACGCAGGCACATCTCCGGGCCGGCATCTCTGGCCAGGCGGGGCTCGGAGCCCCTTGCCAAGGACTGTCATAACAAGGGAAGGTCCACTAAGCCTGCAGTGGAGTCCAGCGATGCAAATCCTAAAGGGAGTGGCTCCAAACTTGACATTCACAGAGTTACTTACAGATGTAAAATCCAACCAGGAACAATGTCTGACCTGTGATGTGTCTACCTTAGAGCTGCTGCAACAGCCGGGGCCAGGGGCGGCTCATCTGCTGCCTGCCCTGAGCTCACAGGCACTCCAGCAGGCTTGCTGTGGGGACAGCGAGGCTGAGCCAGAGGCCCTGTGGGAGCCGGGAGAAAGGCGGCTGTCTTCCCATGAAGACTCAGGCGCCTCTCAGACACCCACCCATGTACACCACAGCCCTGGCGGCTCAGTGAGGTCTCTACGGGGTGCCAGTGGGAGGCAGCCGGAGCTGCTCTAGGGGTGCACCTGTGTGGGCAGTGGGCACCGCATGTCCAGCTAGTCTTGCTCTGCGGTGGCCGGAAGGAAGTGACAGCTCTGTAGGGAGTGGGGGCAGCTCGGGGGGCTTGAGGAGCTGGGGCCTGAGCCCCACAGCCGGCTGTGTGCAGGCGGGACAGGTGAGGCCCAGACAGACATGAGGTAACTAACGACATGCCCAGGCTCTTCCTCCTAGGAAGTGTGCCTTTCCACACCCAGGCAGCCTCTGGAAAGTAGCTTCAAAATGATGGCCACTTACCACATGCAACACCCAAATCACCAGCTGCACCTCATGACCAAACTGACCGGCATCNCAGACAGGGACCCCAGGCACCAGTGCTGGAACCCAGGGTGGGCACTCAGCACGTGGCAACCTTGTGGACGTTCTGCAAACAAGCCAGCAATCGGTGATAGGGGTTTCCCGGTACTGCAACCACCTCGAACACAGACTGGAAGGCCCGGCGATCAAGCTCCTCCTCTATCTGGTGTCTGTAAAAGTCCGTGGCCACCAGGCAGAAGAGGTTAGAGTCCACTTGCTCCAGTTTGCCCATCCTGCTGATGACGTGGGGAAGGCTGGTGGAGAAGTTAAGGGAACAAGGCTAGAATAAGGGAGGGCCGGCTCACATCCCACACCCTCACCTGCACACTCCTCCTGGGACTCAGGTCTACAGTTGGGCCCAGAAGTCCCGAGAGCAGACCGAAGCACAGCTGGAGTGGCCCTGGGCCGTGCCCGAAGCTGGGCTCCCGCCCTTGGCTCCTGCTGCTGAGTCCATAACAGCCAGCGGTATGCCATCCCCTCCAGCTGGAAGCCTGGCCCTGCCCAGCAGAGCAGGGGTGGGCCAGGCAAGAGGCAGCTGAGCAAGCCCCGCGGGGAGGGCACCTCTCCGCAGCACCTCCCTGTCCTGGCCGGCTGCACGGTGCTGGCGGTAGTGCTCCCGCTAGCCCTGCCCCCCGGAGGGCGGGAGCGCCACGGGCCCTCTGGGCGAGCTGCTGTCAGCCCCAGGACAGCCGTCTGCGCAGAGGCTCTGAGGTCTGTCTTGGGGGAAGGCTGCCACACAGAGAACCTGCCCTTTTGGCAGCCAGCATTTTTAGGGTGGGAATTGGATCTTTACTTTCAAGCCTTTTACCCAAGAGGATGACACACGCACAATGACAAAGGATGCACAGCAATCTCAGCAACACCCCCAGCTGCTTGAAACCCAGGGGACAGGGGCTGGGGGTCCCCAGAGGCCAGCTGTAGGCCTGAATCCCAAGGACCCTCTGCACACCCCCAGCAATTCAGAGTGAACCCCAGGCCCTTGGTCAGGGTGGTGAGCATGTTTTGTTTCCCTATCAATGTTTACTCTTTTGGGGCTGCAGGTAAATGTCATCTTGACCTCTGGGTTTTTGCAGAGGTTGGGTTTCAGAAAAGTTAGTCAAAAACCTCAACCTAGACACTGACATGAGAGTGTGCAAGACCTGGCAGGACCCAGGGAAGGATACGTCGCCGAAACCCATGGGCTGGTGGAAGCGCTGACGAAGAAACAGGAAAGACTCCATGTGGCCATGGCAACCGGGGTCCTCTGTGTGAAGTTGGAGAGGGACAGCATGACCCAGTCCCGGACCATGGATGACTGCCCAGTGCTGTGCAAAGTCTGGAACACCTGAGAAGATTAAGAGGCCCATAGAGTCAGGGCTGTGGGGGAGCCCCAGGGAGAGGGCAACACAGCTCTTCTGGGGCTGACAGTGGGTGAAGAGCTACTGCTGGTTTTCAAAGGGGAGGCCCTGGGCCACCGGGTGAGCATGCCAGGCAGGGAAAGCACCCACTCCGAGGGCAGGCCTGGCTTTTACCTTGTAAACTACGGTGGCCATGAACTGTGGGTATGGCTGCTGGTTGGACAGAAACTCTCCAATGACTTTGTTCATGACGTCCTGGGGTGGAGAAAGAGGCGGCTGCATGCGGCACAAACCCCACAATGCATTCTTTACACAGGCATCAGAAGTTACCGCAAAATTAATCTCTTTACTGATACAATTAAAATTTAAATCCTGAGAAGAAAACAGAAAGACAAATATGGCGCTGGTGTCGTGCTCACACCACCCGCCGGGCACGGACCCTGCCGGCACACACCAAGCACCCCCTGCGAGGAGTGGGATCACGATCCCCCCACACCTCACCAGGGAGACCTGGGAAAATGTTCTCCAAAGCCTAATGCTGCCACCTTATGCCACCAGGACAGGAGAGGGGGCTAATGGCCAACCTGTAAGTGCACGGACTGCTATCCCAGGAGCCGGAGCAGCCATACCCTGGTGGCAATGAGCAGGCTGGCCAGGAGGAGGGTGAATGCCTGCTTAACTGGCATTTAACACTAGCTCTAGCATAAAGGGTAAGTGGCGCAGCTGCTCTGCTCTTGGTGGACCCGGGCTCTACCTCCCGTGTCGCCGCACACATTCCTGCACAGCCATGTGGCAGAGATGACACTGCTCCCTCGGCCACACTGCCGGAGCCACCTGGCACAGACAGGGACCCCAGGCACCAGTGCTGGAACCCAGGGTGGGCACTCAGCACGTGGCAACCTTGTGGACGTTCTGCAAACAAGCCAGCAATCGGTGATAGGGGTTTCCCGGTACTGCAACCACCTCGAACACAGACTGGAAGGCCCGGCGATCAAGCTCCTCCTCTATCTGGTGTCTGTAAAAGTCCGTGGCCACCAGGCAGAAGAGGTTAGAGTCCACTTGCTCCAGTTTGCCCATCCTGCTGATGACGTGGGGAAGGCTGGTGGAGAAGTTAAGGGAACAAGGCTAGAATAAGGGAGGGCCGGCTCACATCCCACACCCTCACCTGCACACTCCTCCTGGGACTCAGGTCTACAGTTGGGCCCAGAAGTCCCGAGAGCAGACCGAAGCACAGCTGGAGTGGCCCTGGGCCGTGCCCGAAGCTGGGCTCCCGCCCTTGGCTCCTGCTGCTGAGTCCATAACAGCCAGCGGTATGCCATCCCCTCCAGCTGGAAGCCTGGCCCTGCCCAGCAGAGCAGGGGTGGGCCAGGCAAGAGGCGGCTGAGCAAGCCCCGCGGGGAGGCACCTCTCCGCAGCACCTCCCTGTCCTGGCCGGCTGCACGGTGCTGGCGGTAGTGCTCCCGCTAGCCCTGCCCCCCGGAGGGCGGGAGCGCCACGGGCCCTCTGGGCGAGCTGCTGTCAGCCCCAGGACAGCCGTCTGCGCAGAGGCTCTGAGGTCTGTCTTGGGGGAAGGCTGCCACACAGAGAACCTGCCCTTTTGGCAGCCAGCATTTTTAGGGTGGGAATTGGATCTTTACTTTCAAGCCTTTTACCCAAGAGGATGACACACGCACAATGACAAAGGATGCACAGCAATCTCAGCAACACCCCCAGCTGCTTGAAACCCAGGGGACAGGGGCTGGGGGTCCCCAGAGGCCAGCTGCAGGCCTGAATCCCAAGGACCCTCTGCACACCCCCAGCAATTCAGAGTGAACCCCAGGCCCTTGGTCAGGGTGGTGAGCATGTTTTGTTTCCCTATCAATGTTTACTCTTTTGGGGCTGCAGGTAAATGTCATCTTGACCTCTGGGTTTTTGCAGAGGTTGGGTTTCAGAAAAGTTAGTCAAAAACCTCAACCTAGACATTGACATGAGAGTGTGCAAGACCTGGCAGGACCCAGGGAAGGATACGTCGCCGAAACCCATGGGCTGGTGGAAGCGCTGACGAAGAAACAGGAAAGACTCCATGTGGCCATGGCAACCGGGGTCCTCTGTGTGAAGTTGGAGAGGGACAGCATGACCCAGTCCCGGACCATGGATGACTGCCCAGTGCTGTGCAAAGTCTGGAACACCTGAGAAGATTAAGAGGCCCATAGAGTCAGGGCTGTGGGGGAGCCCCAGGGAGAGGGCAACACAGCTCTTCTGGGGCTGACAGTGGGTGAAGAGCTACTGCTGGTTTTCAAAGGGGAGGCCCTGGGCCACCGGGTGAGCATGCCAGGCAGGGAAAGCACCCACTCCGAGGGCAGGCCTGGCTTTTACCTTGTAAACTACGGTGGCCATGAACTGTGGGTATGGCTGCTGGTTGGACAGAAACTCTCCAATGACTTTGTTCATGACGTCCTGGGGTGGGAAGAAGTCATCTAAAAACTGAGGGAGGATCCGTGCCACCACTCTGGCTTCACAGGGAAACCCCTTCCTGACCCTGGAAGGAAGGCCGTGAATCAGAGCCTCGCTTGCGAGACTCCGAGTCCTGCTGTGGAAGCCAGCTATGGGCCCAGGGCGGGAGGTGCCCAAGGCGCTCCTGGAGTATTAACTGTAACAGCAAAAAAGCAATCCCCTCTGTGGAGACCTCACCAGGGACCTGAAGACAAACGCACAGCTTGGGACTCCCCACCTGGTGTGAGGGCCAGTGATCTGAAAAGGGTTGTAAAGTTGTTTGATGTAATAAGCAAAAGTGGTTTGACGTGGTGACGTCAGAGATAAACTCCAAATCAAACACTGCCCCGGTTCCGTCTGTTCCCATCCATGGGCACATGTTCCGTGTGCTTGTCACCGCAGCACTTCAGTCACCTAGGGCGCTTTCCTTCTTGCCTGGCCTGGACCCCGTCTCTCCAGCTGCTCCTCCTCAACTGGGCCTACAGGCTGCGTGTTGGAAGGCGGCCACCGAGCTCCTGTGTGGTCAGTGCCGGAGAAAAGCTGTGCTCTGCTGAAAAGCACCCCAAGTGGCCCACCTGCCTGTGGATGCCAGCTGCTGCCCAGCACGGGCGAGGCTGCAGCTGGGGGCGACACTCAGCCACAGACTCTCTTGTCAAGCCAGTGCCCCCCAGCACCTGGGGAGGGCAGGCTGAGCGCTCGCACTGCACTCACTGGAAGGCTTATCTTGTCAGCAATGGAGGGAAGTTCCACGGAGGCGGGACCCAAGGGGCTTCCTCTGCCCACCAGCCGCTGTGGTGGGCATTATGGGCAAAGGACTACAAGCGCCTGTTGTAACTTTATCATGGGAACAGACTGCCGCTCAGCTTCCCAGAACACCCTGCCTGCCAGAGTGGGCAGGGAAGTCTTGCTCAGCTCCTGGGAGAGCCCAAACACTCCCTGCCGACTGGAGCACAGGCCCAACATGCAGGACTGGCCTCCCCAGGGCGACAGACACATCCTATCGCCTGGATGAGGGGCCTGGGGCAAACCTTGGTGCCCTGTACTGGAGAAAAAGCCGACGAGGTGCCTGACCCATTTTCCAGAACTAGCAAGCCGACCCAGTCCTGGATACAAGCATGCAAGTGTGGGGAGGCAGTGACTAAGCATGGACTCCAGGAGACACTGGTTGGTTGTTTAAACCTTCACTGATGGTTTCTAATGCTGCTCAAAGGCCGGCTACCCCGCAGCCTCGAAGGTTTGCCAGCTTTGACGTGGGGCAGCCATGTCTGACGGACATTTCGTTACTGCTCAGGGCTCTATGCCCAGCCCACCATCGTCCCATTAACGTGCCCAACTGACACCACCACACCACTGGGGGGCTGCCCCCGCCTTCAGGACCTAGGGGCAGTGTCTGGGCCAACCTCTGGTTCAGTCATCTCTGAACTCCTGGATGCTGGGGTTCAAGGACTGCCGCTCAGAGCCCTGGGCAGGGCTACGAGGGCACTGTGGGGAGCAGATGGGGCAGCCGCCAGTGGGAGCTCTGGGGCACAGGCAGGCTCCATTTCTTACCTGTCGAAAAGAACAGACACGCGCTCCATAGCCACGATTACTGACTCGCTGTCGGGGGTGGCAGGGCTGGGGTCCGAGGTCCTGCCCGGACTGACCTTCTCCTTTCCTGGAACAGATTGTTCCCCGACATTACTTGAATTGTAAACCCAGACAGGCTTTGCAGACAGTGCTGAACTCCCATGGGATCTCAGCTAGCCCCTAGAGATGACCAGAAACAGGGGGGCTGTGGGCCCCTGGCAGCCCAGCCTGGAGTGCAGGGGTACGTTCCTAGGCCTGCTCCCCAGGCCTGGCTCTGAAGCCTATGCAGCAGTGGGACTGTGAGTCAGTTACCCTGTTCCTGCTCCACAGTCTCCCTCGAGAACCAGAGGGGACCTGTGGTCTGTGTCCCAAGACTGAGCGCTCCTCTCAAGTGAACAGACCCGTACGGTCTGGAGCTTGGGGGCATCAGCCCGTCGGGCACAGGTGGGCCTGAGCCCCGAGCCCCGCTGCTCTCACCTGTGTACATGCAGGTGAGCATCAGGCCCAGGGCCGCCATGGACCGATGTGGGCTGTGCACGTTCACTCTGTCCACGCTCAGCTTGACCAGAGACTCTGCGTCCAGCCGGGAGAGCTGCTCAGAGAGCAGGAGGCGCTCCAGGCCTCTCAGGACACAGTGGTAAATGATGGACGGGGTGGACTCCTCACTGCCGGACAGCATCACCCCACACATCTGAGCAAGAGGCAAGGCTTCTGAGTCAGGGCCATTTGAGGCCTGTGGGACGACCCAATGGTGCCACCCCACAGGTGAAAGAGCACAGATGCCCACTCCCGTTTCCGGAGAAAGACGTGCAGGGTGGCTCACTTGCACTATTGATGCCGAGAATTCTGTCCCTACATCCAGAGGGTAGTTCTCGATCAGGTAGAAGGCGGTGGCACACATCACCAGGACATGCTGCTGGCTATGAACATTCACGCAGCTGAAACCAGGAGATAGTGGCCACGCTTAGACACACACAGCAGGCTGCTCCCGTCAGCAGTGTGAGGTGTCCTTGTGGAAGGGTGCCCACCTGGGTGCTGCCAGCTAGCGGGCTCTGATCATGGCACCACCCTCCCCAGAGCCCGTTCCAAGACCACCGGCCTGCCGCACTCACTGGGCCATCCCTTTGAGGTTGGAGAGGAGATAGTCGCTGACGACTGGGATCAGCTGCTTTGCCGTGTCATCCAAGAGGTCGCACTCCAGCACATACAGAATGCCATGCAGAGCTCCGACCCTGCTGGGCAGGTGGCTGCTCCTCAGCGAGCTCTCCAGCAGCCGGCTGACCGGTTCCGCCACCACCTTGTCCTAGAGCGCAGGCACAGGGCAGAAGCTAGCCCCACGACGGAGCGGCAGTGGCCAAGGGGTTGACATCACGCTACAGTGGAAGACAGTGTGCAGAAAGCAGCGCCCCAGCAGGCCTGAATCCCTTGCGAGGCCTGCGTGCAGCGTGGCCCTTGGCTGGCGCCCGGGAACCTGGATGTCAGGCGGGTCCCGGCACCCTTCCTGGGAAGAGCGGCTCCCTCTGCCTCACCTGTTGTGCGGACAGCCCTTTCCTCCTGGGGTCTGGAAGTTGGAATTGGTGCCCCTGGTAGGCAGCCCTCCACGTATCATCCAGTGTGCGTCCTGGCGCCTCCACGGGAGAGGACGCTGGAGGCCGGTGCCTGTTTGCTCTGCGCTTCGCCCACGTGCTTCCCCCTTGTCTGGTTCTGCTTTGTGCCCAGTCGCTGTGACCAGCCACAGCCTTGAGAGTCTCTGAGCCCTGGGAGTCCCCCAGCAAGAAGTGGGGTGATCTGGGGTCCCCCACAGTAGTGTAAGCTCACTTGGATCACAAGGGTATGTCCCATTTAGCATCATAAACACAATGTAGCAGGTGGGAACCTAAGCACTGAACACCTCACTCTTCACTTACACCCCCAACCCCAAGGCCTTCCCGGGGCAGCATGGTGGCAGCCACATGCCATCCAGCCAGGCAGGCAGCTGCCGGGGCTGTGCATCTCCTCTGGCCCTGCAGCCCCAGCTGAGTACTTCCTTCTCCCTCTCTGCCCACAGCCGTGGCGACAAGACACCTTCCTAAGGGCCACTCCCACCCACGCCTCCAGCCCCTGCCTCTGAGAGCACTGCCAGGGCCTGCTGTGAGGGACGTGGGTCTCAGGCCACTGGGTGAATATCACAAAAGGAAGGATGAGCTTTGGAACGCAAGGCGATGCCCCGCACAGTGGGGCTGGGGAGTCCCTGCCCTTAGGGTCGTCTTTAAAAATGGTTGTTACTTATTTGATTTACTAACGACCCAAGGTCTGCCTAGGGGATCTGGGACCGAGCCCAAGACACAATTATACTGGAAATGAGCCCAGTGTCTCAACTCCCCACAAAGATGGAGGGTCCCTGACAGCCCAGCTGCTTCTGGCCCCCACAGCCTGAGGGCATGTGCTGTGGAGACCCACTGTAGGAGGAAAGCCAGGGGGCTGTTCCTGCTCCCTGGGCGGTGGCACCTGGGCTGAAGGCCACTGGGTAGACCATACCTGCTCTGGCACCTTGGCTCCCAGGGACAAGTGCTACAGGGGAGGACACAGTCAGGACCCCTTTCTGCCTGTGACGCAGAGCACATCAGTCACCCCCTGGCCTCGCCTGCTTGGGTGTGGATGGGACACCGGGGCCCTCAGCCTGTGAGGCGGCGGCGACGGGCTGGAGGAAATATGCCATTACATGGCCACCAGGACCCAGTGTGGACCACAGGGGAGTGGGCCCCCAGTGTGTGTCAAACTGCCACCAGGAGAGTGACACAATCACTGGCTGAAGCAAACAGATGCCTGCCCTGGACAGCTGGAAGTTATTTTCCTCTAACGGCACCGCTGACGCCCTGTAGCGGGGCTCTAACAAATCCAGGCCCCGCGCTCAAGTCCTCTGGTGTCCATGTCAGGTCTGCTTAGCAAATAGGGACGCCCAGGAATGCGTGTGGCGCTGGCTGGGTTGTGACCAGCTCGAGGCAGGATAAGGAGCAACTGAAAAGAAGGCCCAGCTGAGCAACTAGAGCAGGCAGGGCTGGGGGGTGCGTAAGGTTCCAGTGGGGAAATGGTCCTGGGGGCAGGCTCTGGGACAGGGAGCTGGGGGTCTGCCACACATCAGAGGCAGCACGGCGGGGCTACATGTTCCCACCAAGAGGGCACTTGAGTTCTGGTGCAATGGGCCCTGTGATGACCAGGTAAACAACGCCGTAGGGGGGCCCCAACCCGAGGCCTGGCCACCACCCCACACTGCACTCTGTGAGCTGAGGCCCCCAGGCTGCCCACATTTGCTGTGGAAGTTCAGAATGGACCTTCCCAGGCGGAGGCTGCCCACAGCAGGCGGCCTGCACACCACGTCTCGCTCACCATTCCAAGGACAGCAGCCGCCTTGCAGGTGGCCGGCACCAGGTACTGAGCGAGGATCTCATCTTCTGCAGGGTGCACCCTCCGCAGCTCTGTGAGCGTCAGGTACATCATCTCAAATTGGCTGCGCTCAGTGAACAAGTCTGAGACCACGAGAAGCTGGAGGCAAGAAAGTCCAGGCGGAAGGGGAGTCACTTCACTAGGAGTGGCCCGAAGCCTGCTTCAGTGTCAGACAACCAGAGGCGGAGCTCACGGGAGCCCTGACTGGGAAAAGGACTCAGCAGAGTGAACATGCAGCGCGGAGAGGAACCGGCCGCTGGGGGTCCCCTAGACCTGCCCCCATACACCCTGCAGATGGAGGGCAGGTCCCCCGGGAAGCCAGGAAGGAGCCTCAGGCGTGACCTGGGCAGGAACCTGCACCCAGAGCAGTCACCCTGAAGAGCCCCACAGCTGCTGGTTTTCAAAATACAGCACTGGGGCCAGGCTCTTGAAAGCCCTAGGACAGAGAAACAGACAAATGTTTCAGAAATAAGTGCTTCTGCAGCAATTCTTTGGGTCTTCCAAAAATGCTCGGTTCTGATGTTAGTTCTTCACAGCTAAATACAGATGTCAGTGACACTTTTACTGCAAAACCTGCCACGAACTGGAAATGCACAAAACTGTTCCTCACTGACCCGGGAAATGATCGTTAAGTGATAAACCACTTTATCACCTGGTGTGTGTGAATCCCCAAGACTTCCTTCCTGGGTTCCCAGGGGCCATGAACTCTGCGTGGGTGTCTACAGGCGTGAATCCCGTGTACCGTGCGTGCCCCGGGATGGTGCTGGGCCCACACAGCGAAGGCGGGGAAGGCAGACTTACTGATCGAACCACTTCACTGATCAGGATGACGGGGGTCCGTCGGGCTGAACTGGACGGCAGGATCCAGCGACTGTACAGTTCAAGCAAAAACTGCGAACAGGAGTGGATATCAACCCCAGCCCGGTGTTTCCTACAGGGTATGTGAGATAGGTGATTGTCCCATACATGAGGTGACAGGCTCATCTTAAGAAGCACTCCAAATACATCAAAGGGCTACTAAGAATTTCAAGTTGCTTTAGAAGGGAAGGCAGATGGGAGACCTGGAGTTGACAGGAGATATGGGTGGTGATGAAGGTGCGGGGACATCAGCCTCCTCCTCCTCCTCCTCGTCCCACTCCTCCTCTCTCAGGGGGGTGATGCTGTTCCCCAGCCACACAGAGTGAATGGACACCTTCAAAGACACAGGACACGGGGCTCAGTGCTGAGCAGGGCTCCCCGGGCACGGGGCTGGACCTGCAGGCATGATCAGGGCCTCAGAACTGAGCAGTCCAGGCCTGTGGATATAAAATATCCTGGATCCTTATCACAAAAAAGAATATTAAAAGAAAAAATGCAGGTAACTTTTCTTCTGGATGTGTTAATGGCGAAAGCCTGAGGACAGACAGCAGGACTCGAGGAAACAGAACGAGTGCCCGGCCGTGAGGGCAGATGGGACTGACCTGGCCGAGCTTGTAGCTCATGTTGCCCAGCTCCCGCTCGGGGTTAATCTGCAGCAGAAGCTTGTCGTGGCTGATGAGGGTACCTGAGGGGTGACAACACCGTGAGCACCGCTCTGCACAGAGCCCCCCTGCCAGGCACACGCCCCGAGCTGCTGACGGCAGGGCCCTGAGGGCCTCTGGGTTTTCTCTGTCACCTTATAATCCATGACACTGGCATGGCCAGTGGGACCATGGGGAATTATCACCTTTTCTCTGAAACAAACAAGCTTATGACTCTGAACAGGAATCAGTTGGGGGCTGAGCTGCAAAAGCTTAATCGAAGTCAGCCAGTGAGCCCTCTGAGGGCCCAGAAGACAATCTCGTGGACAGCACCTCCAGGGACCCTGCCTTGGTGCACCTACAGGGAGCAGGGTGGGTGATGCCCACAAGCCACTTGCCTCCTTTCACCCCCTGCCCACCCCGCCGCCCAGATGGAAGGCTCCCGGAGAGCCCTTGGCCAGACCCAGTGCCAGCACATCTTCCTCCAGGAGGCCGCCCTCAGGCGCCTGCTTTCTTCACGGCCCGAAGCCCTTTGTCCGGCCCTCTCCTGTCTCCTGGGACAGTGAGTCGTACCCCTTCTCAGCTTTCCCGCTGGCCACAGGCTCCTCCAGGGATCCGTGCAAGGCCACAGGCCTCAAGTAACGGAGGCGCCTGTGGGTGTCCAAAGGTATACAGCTTTGCACTTCCACAGGGACTTTTCCAGGGATAGCTTTCAAGATGCTTAAACTTGCAGACTAACAATAAAAACTAGGGAATCATAAAAATGCTATGCTAACATGCTGTTCCTTCGACAAAAACATGCATATTAAATAAAACAAACAAACCAAAATTCCCTTCTTTTGACCCGGGGTGAAAAACTCCAGTGGCCAGGAGAGGGCAGGCACACGACTTGCAGGCCCAGACAGACAGGCCCACCTGGGCAGCCAGTGCGTAAGCCAGGGAGAGGATGGTGGCACGGGGAGCTCAGGCCCAGGGATGTGCAGCCCTGAGGGGCGTCACCAGATCTCGTCACACTGATTTCTCACAGGAAGTCAGAGATTCATGTCGTTCACAGTAACTGGGTCAGTCTCTTCATGTGAGCGACCGACCCAGCTCTTCAGACCATGGGCAGGCTGCCAGCCCCTCGGCCTCTGAGACCTCCTTTGCTTCCCAGAACCTGACTGGTAGAGACAGTTCGTCTCCAGACTTGATTTCCTCAGGACTGTCTGTTGAGATCTCCCAGTCCTGAACAGGCCTCTTACTTATCAATTAGGACAGCACATCTAGTACCACAGCCTCCAAATAAAAGCTTGTTTCGGGTCTCTCTGCCCACCACCGTTGTTAGTATGCTAGTCGCAGTCTCTCATCCTGGCCCAAGGACAAACGGCCCCTCTCCCCACAGGTACCTGTAGTAGCTGGAGAAAGAGAAGGGACGGGGTCCCACTCTTGGTATAAATGATGGGTGGCGATATTCTCTCTCTTTGAAACCATTGCTTGAATTTCCTGCTCTACAATTCCTCTGATAATGCTCAACTTCCTCCCAAACCTAAAAGTAGAACAAGGGTTAAAGAATATTTGGATTCCTCTAAAATTGTGAAAAACAGGAAGACACCCCCAGCTTTGCCTAAATGACCCCCAGCACCTGCAATACCAGAGGACATGCCCCTGTAGGACAAGGGACAGCTTCCTTTGTCCAGGGATCCTGAGCAGGGTTTCTACCAGCTTGCGGATTCTTGTTCTGCTGGGGTCTGCTCCAAACACTCAAGATGATCCCTGTGTCAGTTTGTTGGGGGTCATTCATTGCCACTGGCCACCAAGTCCCTCTTGGATTTGCACCTCTTGCAGCAAGGTAACATGCAGTGTTCTTGCTTTTAATTTTGGCAACAAAGAAAAGGGCCTGGGTGAAGCTGCTGGTCTCCCTGGGAAAAGGGAGGGCCCCTGGGTACCCACCACAGCCGTGCAGGAACTAGAGACACACAGCAACTCAGACAGACCTGGTGTCGAGAGCTTTCAGGGGCTTGTTCCGGGGCTGCTGCTCCAAGCAGCTCATGGCTGGGTTGCCAGCCACAGGCACGGTCATCGCACTCAGCACCAAGGAGGTGATGGCCTGCACGGCCAGGACATTGATCTGGGTCCTCTCCGTGTCTTCCTGCAAGGAGAGCCCACACGTTACGAAGCCACGAGCCACCACGTGTACAGAGCCCATAGGCCGTGGTTCTCAGGCCACACAGCACTGCAAGGAGGAGCCTTGAGTGCCATGCCTTCTTGGCCAGGATCCAATTCCTCTGCCTAAGCCTACCACAACCTACACAAGTCTATGACTTGACATAAATCTGACGGGCAAATGTCTACTTACCAAAGCAACGTCTCCCATAGGAGAGTCCTCCAAACATGAATGACTGTTTAAGAAACTGCCCTTAAATTTCCTCACTAATTTCAGGAACTTCGCAAAGACAACCTGCTATCTTCTAACATGGATTTAAAGACAATCCTGATTTCTGACATATGTCTATTCTATCATGGCTATGAGCACGTTCCACACCTTCTGTCAGAATTACCGACATATCCCACACCTTCCAATACCACAGGCTTTGCTGTATAAGAATGTGACATTTACTGCAGTTGCAGTGACACAGGGTACATTATACCCCAAGATGCCTGGTGAACCTCTGCAAGTCCATCAAGAGAAATGAACACAGGTGCACACAGCCTTTGTGGCACACATTTTCACCGTAATTCAAGCTACCACTGTGCCTGCACACCGATGAGCAGAGCTCAGAAATACTTCGGGGGGAGGGTGGAGTCTGACCCCGAACACACAGTACATGTGAGAAACTGCACTCCAGCGGCCGGCGTCTAGCACACCCGCACCTCAGGGGCATCTGCTCCTGCTCTCTTACACTGAGGTAAGACAGAAAAAATGAGCTTGCTGCCCACTTTTGCCCACACTGACAGTTCACACACCAGCGGGCACACAGGGCTGCATGTGGCCTTACTTCCGGTGGGCTCTCCTCCTGCTCCATCACGAGGGGCTGAGTCACCAGGACACCGAGGAGGGTGGCCCATGTTTCCTCAAACTGGGTACGGCTGGTCCACCCTGGGAATGTAAATGTTACATGAGACAGAGGGTCCCCTACTCCTCAAACTCTGAGACATGCTGTGGCAGCTGGGCCACACAGCTCCAACTGAACTAGGCGCCTCCCTTGGGCAGGGTGCACAGCAGCCCCTTGCCCCTCGAGACAGTTCTGAGACACGGCCTTGCTGCCTGCTCCAGTCCGTCAGCGAGCAGGCTGAAGCACACATGTCCGAGGTCACGCATCAGCTGACCCGGCCAAGCTCAGCACAGACGCCCTGTGGAGAGGCCCCATGTAGATGCAGTGAAGGGCAGGGACATCCAAGCAGGCCACATGTGAACGGGGGCCAAGGGTCCTGCCCTGCTAATGAGATGGTTCAAGGACTTTCAGAAAGTCAGACCCCTGGGCTGAGCTGCTGGACACACAACCACAGGCCTAGGCGGCACACTTGGGGAAGTGGAGTGTGTACTGCATTAATGCTGTCTCTACAAAGCTGCTTAAAATAAAATAGTTAAAGCAATGGTTTCTCTGACCCTTCCTAGAAGAAGGGTAGATCAAAAAAGAGTACACTCTAGGCGGGGGCCCACAAGTCTTTGGGGGAAGGCATGTCTGCTGCACCACCCTCAACAACGTCATCACTAACTGCACCCATGGCAGTGTCTGGACAGCGGTGGTTGCTGAGGGCTGTGCTTAGCGTCCCCCTCATGGCCATGCCACTTGATCTAGTGCTGCACGTGACAGGAGGGTGGGAAGCCAAAAGACCAACGCATCAAACTTCAGCAGCTCCATGGGAAACAGTGCAGGTCGATACCCAGTGGTCTAGATGTGGGTTAGCATGGACAGACTGACTTAGCTACACGGAAAGACACAAGACACAAGCAGATGTATGTGACAACTGCCTCAGGGGAGGAGAAGAGAATTAACATGGAACGTGGGGAAGAGAAAAGGAACACCCAGAAGCAACTGCACAGCTGGGTCCCGCAAGCCCGACAGGCCATCCAAACATGAGGTGGCTGAGTAAGGAAAAGGGGCTGGTGGTAGGCAAGGGGGTTAGGTCAGGAGACTTGCTGGGACCAGTCCTAAGGAGAGGCTGGAAGAAAAGCTCCCAGGGTGCTGGCTTTGGACAGCCGTTCGGTCCATTTTGGACAGAGTGATGAGCCATCTGCTTGACTAAAGCGAACAGTAGAGCCAATAAACCAATAAGGCACCTGCCCCCAAAATAAGCACGAAATCTGCAGAAGCCGGACACGGGAGGGCACCATGGGGATGCAGGTGGGCCAACGCAGGGTCAGGGTGCCTATGCCAGCCTCAAAGATCAGCACCAGGGAACACCCAAGGGATCTATAATTACAGTCACACCCCAACCCCCAGATCAAACTTTTGACCTTAAAATGGGGACAAAAGGAGGTAACTCACACTGTGCTGCGGAAAGCAGAGAAGAACCCAGCAGGGGAGACTCTAACGCCCTCGTTCACTAGACACTGAGTGCTCGGCGCATCTCTTTAATTCCTGAATATGTGGCAATGTTGTGAAATAGGCCTATTTCACAAGTAACAAACTGGGGGTCCTCGAGGCTAGAATGACCAGGCCAGACAGAGCCCAGTGCTGTCTTATCTACAGTCTACTTCTCCCCCCTTGACCTTGAGGCTCCATCATACCAGCCTGCTTGTTCCACCTACCAGGAAGGGGCATGGGTGGCACCTGGGAAATTCAGAGAGCAATCGCTGCCACGGCTTAGCACAGGTGCACAGCACAAGGTCGGAGCCTGGCCTCACGTCACCAAGTCCAAGGGAACCTAGCCCGACTTCAAACCTGCCTGATACATGGAAGCTCGGTACACAACTCACACAGACACCAAGTGGGACCGAATGCTTCCTCGGAACACCTTTGTAGACATTGCAAAATGCACCCACGTGGGATCATGGCACGCCCTGAACCTCTCACAGGACGGAATGAGAGGCACCCAGGCTCTGGCTCTGGGTTTCCCCCAACTGATGGGTCATGACGTCCAGTGACTCTCAGGGAGAAACCTGACTACCTAGCGTGTTGATGCGGTAGATGAACTCTTTGAAGACTTCCTTTTCCTGGAGGAACTCCACAGGGATCTCTGGAAAAACTGTGCCAAAATCCCCTCCTGGTCTTGGTGACCACCCAAGTCTCCATACCTGAGGAATGAAGAGGAAACAAAGTCACAGTCAGGTCGGGACGCCACACTGCAAGGGGCCGAGAAGCGCCGTCTCTCTGAGGCCAACCGCCTGTGCGCACACACCCATTCGGAAGCCGGTGCACCATCTTCTGGGAGACAGCCCGAAGCCGTTGCCCGAGGGCCTCCCTCCCGCCAGGGTGCTCCCAGGCCCGCCCGCACTGCCCTCCGACTTGGCCCTGCCCCGCCCCCACACTGGTGAAGCCCCAAGGCAGGCTCTTGGAGGTTCCTGTTGGCAGCCTCCAACCTCAGAGGAGGGCAGGGGGCAGCAGCCAGCGCCCGCACCCTCACCCACACACAGAGCTGGTACCTTACGCAAAGCACCCAAATGAAGTCATCACTCAGAAGTGTTAACCGGCACTGAGGCACAGACAGGGCGCTGCTGTCTGTGTGTAACTCCATGAACGGAAGGCTGACCTGATATGGACCCAGCGCTGTCCCAGCAGGTTAAGAACTCCAGTCAAGGACACTAATCCATGGCATGTGTTCCGGTGGGTATTCATAAGTCCATCCCAGACACCAGGACTGGACTTCCTGCCCTGACCCAGCCCCGACAAAGGTGCAGTCACCCCAAGACCTACGGCGAATCGTGTGTGCAGAGCCTGCACAGTGAGGCAGCTCCTGCCTTTCCCGGCAGGTGCTGGGTGTTAGCAGCACCACAGCTCCCGGCTCTACACCACACAGCTGGACCTTCTCTAGAGCAAGCCTTCCATGTGGAATGCCTTCACCTCCCACAGCAAAACCCTTCCCATCCCTCAGGTCCTGAGGAACACCACCTCCTGCGTGCAAGCCTCTCACACACGCAGAAGCTGTGCCTCCAGCAGGCACAGACAAGCACCCTCCCTCTGGGCACGGCCAACTCTGCCTCCTGAGGCAAGCTCCAAGCCCTGCCCTGCACCTGCCCATCAGCCCTTTCCCAATCAGCAGGCTGCAAAGGGGAGCCGTGCCAACTCCCAGCGAGAGTCCAGCTCGTCCACCAGGCCTGCCAGCTCACACGAGCACCTCCTGTTAGCTGAAACGAGGTGCTCTTGGCACTGACTCTCCAGATGATTTGAAAAGAGATATTGCAAAAGCGGCTGCCCAGAGCATATGGTAATCTCTGAAGCAGCCACTTTTAAAGGAAAACACTTGGGGAACAATTTCTGGTCTACCATCAAATGAGATGCCCTAATTACTTTGGAATCATATCCAACACTCAGTCTCTCTTAGTGGGAGCTGAAGTCTCATTTCTGGATGAAATGCTGCAACCTTACTGCTGCACGGTGTGCTCAAGGAAGCCCGCCAGGCATCACAACCACACTCAATGGAACGCTCGCTACTGCAGGGGAGCCTCTGAGCACGAAGACGTGGTTTAACCCCCGGGAGCCCCCAGCCCAGGGCCTTGACTGTGTTCCGCTTGCTGCGGTCTTCAGCAGAGGCAACCGGACTCACCAGCGGGGGGACCCGGGTATAGCTGTTGGCGAGGGGCAGGCGGGCCAGGCTGATGACAATGTTCCTGAGTACAGGCGTCAGGAAGGCTGGTGTGCTGCTGTTCCTTCTGTGGCCCAAGGCCAGCGCAGATGGCAGGGACTCCACCATCTCTGCCACCATCCCACAGGCTGCAGCAATGTACTGAGGGTCTGAACACACCGCAGGAAAGTGCTGTTTGGTCAGAACGCACTTGGAGCCCGCCGCCTCCCCTCTTTATCTTCCACCCTCCCAGCAGAGCACGCAACCTCACAACCAGCTGCTCTGGTCCCACCACAGAGGCCTCTGGACTTCTAGCTGGTCACTGAAGGCCCCCCGCTTTCACGTCTTCACAGGCATCGAAACACCAGCCCCTCTCCACCACAGGGAATGCAGCAATCATTGTGAGCAGGGTCCCAGGCCCGGCCCGCGTGGTGAGTACTGCCCCTGTCCTGGGCTTTGGCTCTCTCTGCTGTTCCTGGACCCTGTGCTCAACCCTAAGCTGGCGTGCAGACAGCCATGCTGTGACCCGTGGCTCACAGTGTCCCCGACATGAGGGCTTCTGAGGGGACACTGAGTCCCACCCTAGAACTCCTGGGGCAGAATGTGAGGAAAACCCCTCACCCCCGGGGGAAAAGCTAGAGCTCCTCGAAGGTGTGCTGCTTTCCACTCACTCTGAGTCTGGCACAGACTGTTTGGCAAAAATTATTTGTTGAGTTGACAAATGGTTAGTACTGTGGGTGAACCTCACCCATGGTACCTGAGCTCAACAGTTCAGGCAACATCCTGGTACGGAGAAGGGGTTCTCACGGGCCCTAAGGAATCAAAAGCCCCGAGCTGAGAGGGACAGGGCTGACTTCAGAACACTCACCGGCCTGTCCAGTGCCAGCACCATCCTACTGAAGGATAGAAACCAAGCATCTTCTCTGCTGAGGATGAAGTGAGCGGCCTAACGAGGGCCATGGAGAATGAGCACAAACTAAACTACATTCACCAAACTAAACATGCCCCGGCCAGCAGCCTGCCTGCTCTGACTCCACCCCTTGAAATGCCCCAACTACTTTCAGATGAATGGAATTTCAAATTATAACCAAAATTATGGTAGAATTTGCTGAACACTTAAAACATGCTTGGCACTTGTTTGGGGAGCTTTATGTGGACTGATGTCCTTAATCCTACACCAACCGTCTAGGACTGGTACCCGTCGCACCCTCACTGCAGTAGCCCAGGACAGTGGCTTGCCTGAGCCACGGACAAGACAGTGGCTGACCAGAGAAGTGAGTGTCCGCACACCCCTTAGTTTATCAAGAGGGAATTCTGAAATCTCAAACTCAGGCCTGACAGAACCATGACACCTCAAACACCTGGAGAAGAGCTGGGCTGTGGAATGAAGCACGGTTCTGGATGGCCAGGCACTCACAGCACTCTGAGCAGGTAACTAGAGGAAGAACTGCTATATGCTTAATACCAATGGCAGGAAAACTGCATCATTGCCTGGGACCACAGGAAAGCTGGAAGAACACGCAAAGCACTCATGTACTTGCTCCCAAGAGGTGTGTTGCTTAAGCCAGCAGAGCACATTTAAGACTCTAGCACTCCAAGTAAGCGTGTTCCGTACAAAAAGCAGCCATGGGCCCCCAGGTGGGTCCATCTGCTCCCCCGTCTTCGTGGGATGGGCTGCAGGTGGCATTCCAGCCAGGCCCTCTGGGTGGCCCCAGGATCTGGGGGTCGTAGTGGTAACAGGGACACCTGGCCAGGAAGCTTTCCTCCCAACCTGCCTTGCCCCATTTTCAGAGTAAAATATCTGGACCAGGAAAAAGTACATGAAAAACTACAGTGCAGTGTGAATCTCAAATAGATTGAAGTGAATGGGATGTGGATTTTTTCTTCTGTACGAAGAGCAGATTTTTCATTTAAATATCCACCAACATAGGCGGCTGAGGTAGGCAGATTACCTAACACCCACGTGGGTATTCCCACTGCTAAGTTCCTCAGTATTTGTTCCCTCCGTACTCAGCAAACATTTGCTGACCCCTTACAACAGTGAGACGCAGGAGGGGAAGATCATTCCCGCCAAAAGCGCTCAGTCTGGGATGGAGACACAGGGCTGTGAGTGCCACAGAGCTCGGGGGAGTGCTGGGAGGGAAGCAAGGGGGCCCCGGGGAGAAGGACGGGGACAGGGGGACCCACCAGAGTCCACGCAGGGGGCAGAGCGGGCAGGCAGAGACAGGGCACACAAATCCCATCGCCCTTAGAGTGCAGCACAGAACACGACCACCTAACAGAAGCCTTCAAGCATCCACATTTACCACTTTCTAAGTCTATTTTGTGAGGGAATTTGAAGCCCCCAAAGAAACTAGGCAAGAACACATGGGTCTTGAGACATACTTTGTGTGTCTGAATCCACTTCTTCCCCTCCGGCAGCCTTTGGGGTGTCCATCTTTCTTCCTGGGCCAAGAAGCTGGTCCCCAGGCTGTACCACAACTAAAATCGTAATAGAACCTTTAGCATTCCTTTTTACTCAGACTTCCACACTGCAGTCTCATAATATTTCAAGGGCACATGCCTTGTCAAATGAGGCCTGGATTGCTGAGAATCACTTTGAGACAATACTGGACCCAGACATCAATCTAGGGTGAGTCTGCACTGCTCAGGGACCTGGACTTCCACAGACAGACATCTGAGTCTACTGTGCTGTTGGCCTGAAGGTTTTCATCAGATGGGCCGTGATGCATTACTGCGAGAAGCATCAGGGCAACCCCCAAGAAGTCTGGCTTTGAAAATTACTCCCAAGATCTCGTTTTCAAGTCAACTACAAATGCACAGATGAAAACAATTTAAATTATGAAACCTCAAAGCACCCTCTAATGTGCAAAGTATAATGCCCAATTTTTTTAAATTTTGGCCAATGACTCTTGTTAAAGACACTGTTCCTTGAAAGGAATGTCACTTTTCTGTACAATGCATTAGCATTGCAGTGCATTATAGACATGAGCACTTTCACTGTGACAGAAACAAGTGATCCTTTGAAGGTAACCGTACTGATCTCAGGACGAGATAGGACTAAAAGCATGAAATAGTCAGCTAGGACTAAAGAACATGGGGGCATAAAATTAAAAGTGCTTTTATGAAAGCTGAACTCTGACATAAAGACAAAACGACTACAAAAGCAAAGCCAAGTTAAATTCTAGACTCAAGTTCCCAGAGATTACAGGCCATATTTTATCTCCCTCTTCATGCCCACTTCCTAACTCAGCACCTGGCAAATAGGTTGTAAAAAAAAGTCTTGTGACTAGATTTGCAGAGCCTATTACTGGTTCGTGTGACAAAGGACAGAGGTCATGGACTCACTGGCTTCTAGGATGAACCGGATGCAGTGAATGAGGGAGCAGGCGCGGGTCATCATCTCCGGGGAGGAGAGCGCGCTCCGGAGGCCGGGCAGCTGCAGAGCCAGGCAGCAGCAGTCCAGGCCCGCCTGCAGGTCCAGACTCAGTGGGGTCTGCTCATGGGCCAAATGCCAGGACAAGGCCTGCAGGGGAAGGGCTGAGTTACAGAAGGCAGAGCCGCACCCTCCTTCTGCCCCTCGAGTGCTGGGGGAGCAGACAACTGCCAGCTCTTGAGGTTCGGCAGGTCCCAATGACTCCGGCCTGACCACCTGCTCCCCAGAGTGCGTGGGGTGTCCCCTCTGCCAGAATGTCCACCCTGAGCTGGCTGCCCTTGTGGCTGCCCAGAACAGCCTTGCCTCTATCAGCAGAGGCTGAATTTGAGAGTGCTGGTCTGGAGCAGCCAGACTTGGGTTTGAATGCTGACCGGCTACTCCCTGGCGAGTGAACCAGGGAGGTCGCCAAGCCTAAGCCCCACTTCCCTTGTGTGTGACTGGTTTAACAGAGCCCATCTCCCAGCAGTTGTGGTGACCTGTAAACCTCCTGCACATGGCAGGCACTGGACAGAGCTGGCAGCCATGACTATATGCCAGCCATGCTCACAGACTTCCCACCTCACTGAAGACTAAAGGACAGGGGTCACCACTGTCTGACTTGGCCTGGCTCCAAGCATTTGCTCGCCTTTTCATGAATGGCCGCACCAATGCCCTCCCACAGCTCTGCTGTGACATGGCAGGCAGAGGGAGTGGTGGGCCAGCCCATCCTCACGGGGCTGAGAGAGGCTGAGAAATGCAGCTCTGATTCTCTGGCTTGAGATGCAGGTCTGATTATGTTTTCCAAAGTTACAAGGCAATGCACCCATGAAATGCATATACCTGGGGGTAACGTTTAAGTGTTCAGTGTTCAATTCCCCATGGCTGGAATGTCTAGGTTTATTACCCAATTTAAAACAGAATAAATCTCCAAGATTATTTCTTCTTTAAGTACCTAAAATTAGGATCCATACTACATTTGTAGTGCTTTTATTCACCCTGGAAAAAATTTCTAATGGATGGTGGTCTGTCCTAAAACCAAAGCATCTTAGAATCAAGGAAACAGACTCACATATAAGCACATGATGACTCCTCACACTGTACTTGAGAGATCCCCAAAAGTTGTGTACTCATCTCTCCAATTATCCTTGCTTCTCTCTGACTGACACCCGCCCCACTGACCCTGCACCTCGGACAAGGGGCGGGGCGGGGGTGGGGGGCTGCAGCAGGAGCCCAGATGTGATCCAGGCTGTGGAAGCGTCAGGAAGACAGGCTGGCTGCAGTGTTCTGGGAAGGAGGTACAGACTGCATGCCTCCAGGTCCCAGATAAAACTGCCCCCTCTCCCTCAAGTGACAGGGCCAGTCAAGCTTCCCTCTGCACAGTGACAGCTAGTTCCCGAGCTGCCTCTTACCTCAAGGGTCATGACCACAAATTTCACCGAGTCCCTCTCCTTCTCAGGAGGAAGGTGCAAGTGACCAGGGAGTTTGGAGACCACCAGCAGGTACTGGGCCAGGGCCCGGGCCAGAGTGGTCAGGGAACGATACCACACAGCATCTCCTGAAAGAGAAGATGTTGACGTGGACGTGACTCCAGCAGAGGCGCGGGGCCTTTGCAAGGCAGCAGGAGTGCTCTGGAACTGACAGGTCCTCAGAAGGACAGCAGCACACACCCAACTCCTGTGGCTCACCTTGAGGCCTACCCCAGTGCACGGAGCCGGCCTGGCCAAGGGGCAGCAAAGAGGCACACACACCAGGCAAGAGGCAGGCCTGGGAAGCCCAGCACATCTCTCCACCACCTCTGTGCATGCTTCCAATTCATTACCCCAGCAACATGGTACTGGCTCTACAGCATTTTTAAGAAGTAAGAGACATTTTTATTTTAATTACCAAACAGTTCGTTCAACTTGCTCCAATAGGCAGTGGGCTCTGCAGGCAGGAATGGCTGGAAAACATGGTGGGCGGCAGGGAGCTGCTGAACCATGCTGGTCACACGGTCCAGAGTTGCCACACGAGCAGCTTCAAAAAGAGGACTCTTCTGGCCTCCAGAGATGTCACGCATGCCCAGGCCCAAGCACGGGGCTAACAGGCTTAAGTTGAAGTTCTGAATCAGGGCATTAAAGGGTCAAAAACAATAGTTACAAGTTTGCCATGAGGCAAGAAACACACAACAGAAGGAAAGATAATGCCAAACCGAGTGGATGCAGAGAAGTGGGCCAAAGAGGCTCTGAAAGGCTGTAGGGAACTCTACTCCTGCGTGGATGGCCTGCTCAGTAATGTACACTTCTAATCTCTTCTGGGCACTTCAATTTTAAAGAAATGCTTTTATTTTTCATGCTTTCAGACTTCTTTGAAATCAAAAGTTTAATATGATGAAATTTTGCTTCATAAAAATACAAAATTAAGAGAAATTAAAGAAGATACCAATGAATGGAAACACATCCTGTGCTCATGGATAGGAAGAATTAATATTGCCAAAATGGCCATCCTACCTAAAGCAATTTACAGATTCAATGCAATCCCTATCAAAATACCAACAACGTTCTTCAACGAACTAGACCAAATAGTTCTAAAATTCATATGGAACCACAAAAGACCCCGAATAGCCAAAGCAATCCTGAGAAAGAAGAATAAAGCAGGAGGGATTATGTTCCCCAACTTCAAGCTCTACTACAAAGTCATGGTAATCAAGACAATTTGGTACTGGCACAAGAACAGACCCATAGACCAATGGAACAGACTAAAGAGCCCAGATATAAACCCAAGCATACACGGTCAATTAATATATGAT